AAAAAATATAATTCAAACTAGTTAAAATGTATCTTGCTATCTCAAGGATGCTCATTTAGAATGGACCCAATACTTTAAAAGAACAGAAGTGGATAGCTTTTATTTCCAGGTGGAATTCCTAATGGCTTCTAAGCTGTATTTCTTGTCATGAGTGTAAAAGCTCCCGGGGGCTTCAGGAGGCTGGAGTGGGGACAGGAGCCAAGTGGATGTATTCGTTTGCTGCTGGGAGATCCTTGGACCGGGGTGAGGGCTGACACAGAGGTGGCAGGGCTCCTGAACCCTGCTTGATGTCCCAACACGGGACACACGTGAGAGCTGCATGCTCGCCTGTAGGATTCTATGGGGATAGAGGCAAACCAAAAAACCTCTCTGAGACCAGAGAGAGAAGGAGGCTTGTCTCAGGTCACACAGCAATGAGCCCCCAACACATCTCCCGCCCCCCAAGGTGCTATGAGTGGGACAGCAGCATCCAGGCTGGCACCAGTCAAGCTGTTTCAACCAGAGGAAGAGATGGGGGGTGGGATGGGGCACTCCAGGGGTGTGGGGTCCCTGGGGCTGCAGATTCCGGGGAAGGGTCCCTGGAGGAGGCAGAACCCCACCAGCCTGGACAACGGGCCGGCTCCGAGCAGTAGGAGGGAAGGTATGAAGCTTGCACACAGGTGCCGAGGGGCCTGCGTTGGGGAATCGAGTCCCAGCTCGTCACTCCCTAGCCAGTGACCCTGAGCCAGTCTTTCTCTTGGGCCTCAGCTTGCCCCTCCACGACATGGGGATGCACAGGTGGGAAGTGTGGACAGGGAGTGTGGTGTGAACTGTGACGCTGGGAACCGAGAGGGGCGGTAATGGGGCATCGTGTGGAAGGTCCTCGTTCGCCCCGGATCCCAGCCTCCTGCGCCCGGTAGATGCCCCTTGGGTTAAACCCTTCCTGCCGTCGCCAGCACAGCACCCAGACTACCAAGGGCCGTGGGTTAAAGGTTCGTTCCTGGGGTCGAGCGGCTGCCACCCACACCTCCCCTGGCCCCCGGCTCACAGGAGTTTGAAGGTGACATCTCAGCTAACCCCCCCAACACCCCCCGAGGTCATGGTGTCACCTCCACTTGCAGATGAGCCGACTGACGGTCAGAGAGGAGAAGGACCCGCCTGTGTCCGGGCGGCAGGTCTGCCTGACCCTGGAAATCATTCTCTAGGGACTCCCAACAGGATGTACAAACCGGCCCCTGGGGCTTTGCCAGGTCACCGCACCCCACCCCACCCCCAGGCCGCTGACCCTCCTAGCGGGAGAGGCAGCATCAGGCCTCAGCATCTCCCCCACCCCTTCCCCCACCCCACTCCCAGGACTTCCCAGGTCCTCCCACTCTCCCCACAGCGGGCCTCACCCCCTCAGCTCAGGACCTGCGTCACCAGCCTCCTCCTGGGACTCCCGGCCTCCGGAGTCTCTCCTGACCCTGCACCCCTACACGGGAGCAATCCAGGCGTCTCCCCGCTTCACGACCTTGCGGGCTCCCTGTTGTCCATAAAGGCAGAGCCCAGTAACCTGCCTGGGGTGGGGGGCAGCCCTCACCGACAGGAGGGGAGCCAGGCCGAGAGATGCTGAGGCCCTGGGGCCCAGCCCGCCTCTCCTGGGAGAAGACCCTTCCTCTCCAAGAGCGGGGCCTGAATAGTAAAAGCATTTTGCTTTTATCTCCTCCTGGAGATGCTCGGCACAGACCCGGGCCCTGAGGCCGGTAGGTAACCACAGAGGAGAGCAGAACGCAGCCCGTGACTTGGAGGGAGGTGAGGGCTCCCTGCGCCCTGGCAGGGGGCCCGCTGTGATGACCGGGAGCAGGAAGCCGGGGCAGGTTGTCTCTGGGCTCTGGGATGCCAGGAGCTGAGTGAGAAACAGGGTGGCCACCCCAACATCAGCCACCACCTGCCCCAGAAAAACCACCTCCCACTGTGCAAAGAATGTGGCCGCAGCCCCCAGGGATGGGGCTGGGGTGGGTGGGCAGTGGGATTGATGGTTTACAGGAGGAGGAAGGTCACATTACTGGCTGAGTGCCTCCTCGGGTTAGGGGTGTCCATCCTCGCCACACCCTCCGGGGCTGGACAAATGTCCACCTGTCACTGAGGCTCAGAGAGGTTAGGTGACTTGCCCAAAGCCACAGAGCGGGGGAATGGCAGAGCAAGGATTCGAGCCCTGGGCTCTGATGGACCTGCATTCGGGTACTCTGCGGCACATCCAGTGGCCTCTTCTTCGGTGCTTGGAATACTTTTGCTGGAAACTTTCCCAAACATGGGAGGATCGGAGGGCACATGGGCTGGACTCTCTTCCTGTGGAGCTCCAGAGCTGAGAGGTCAGGGGTACCACGAGGTCAGAGGCATGGAAAGCCAAGCAGCAGACCCAGGATGTGAGGAGCCCCTCCACCCAGGCCCGTGACAGCACCTACAGACCCCGCCTCCAGGGAGGCACGTGGCAAGGCCCCACTTTACGGATGAGGAAGCTGGGCCTCTGGGCAGAAGTGACCCATCCAGCCCTCTGTGTTGCCAAAGGGCAGAGCCAGGTCTGGAAGCCAGGCGCCTGTAGGGGAAGCACCTTCACTGGACCCGGTGACAGGCTGGCAGTTCTCGGTGCAGGCGAGCTCCTGCTATAAATATGATGCTGACTCCCGGTAAGCTTAGCCTCCAGGCTCCCCTGCCCAGGCTCAGGGCCATAAACCCTGGAGCGGACCACCTGCCACTGCGCTCCTGCGCTGGGGAACTGTCCTGACAACCCTAGCAAGGTACCACCATTTTTTTACAGGCTCCAAATCACTGGAGGCAATGTTGCGCTAACAGTCTCCCAGATGAGAAGGGCCACTGCTCAGAGGAGAGCTAAAAAGTCCTGCAAGATGGCCAGACTCCCCACCCCCAGGGGAGCAGGGAGGGAGGACTTCCTAGAAAAGGCATCTGACTTGAGCTCTGCACAGACAGGGCCTAGGAAGCTGGGTTTGAAGCCCAGTGCTACCACTGGCCAGCTAGGTGACTTTGGACAAGTCTGTTTGCCTCTCTGAGCTCTGGTTTCCTCAGAAGTCCACGCCACCGATCTCTAGGGATTAAACAGACAGTGCATCCACAACGGCTGGGAGACAAGACACAGCAGACGACTTGGTCCCTTTGCTTCCTTTTTTGAGTCACAGCTCATTTACTGGTTGAATAATAAAAACTTCAGCGGGCAGCCAGCCTGGCATGATTTTCAGTGTGCTGCATGTTCTTGGTCACTTAATCCTCCCTGGAACTTAAAGCACTGAGATCCTATTTTTGTCCCCATTTAACAGATGAGGAAACTGAGGTCTGCGCCCTCGAGTAATCCGCCCAAGGTTACACAGGTTGTGGGCGCAGAGCTGAGAACTTTGCTTGCTGTCCACACGGACACAGAGGCTGGTTACTGAGAACAGGTGGGAATATTTCACAGCAGCCTGCCTGGCCCAGTCGCTGCAGCACAGAAGGAATCTGAGAAAGACTGGAATTGCAGGTGACACACCCTAGGAGATCGCAACCCCACCCCAAACCCTACCTCCACCATAAGCAAGCATGCATCCCTGCACCCAGGAGCTGTCTTTACGTCTGCCAACGTGGAGTGATCGCAACCCAGCACATCAGACAGCAAAGACCATTACACAGTATCCTACAGGCGGGAAGCCAGGAGTCGCCGGCCCAGTTGCAGGGTAGGGATGCTGCCCGCCAGCCTCCAATCCAGGGGACCTTCTCCCAATCCTGATAGGGAAGGCAGTCTGCCCCCAGGCTCCAGGCCACGCACACACACACATGCTCAGTACCCATTCCATCACCCTGATGGGTTAATATTGTCCTGGGCTTCCTGAAATACCCATCCTCACAGCAGGGTGGTTTTACAAGCTGCTAAAAGCAGGGCTATGTCCCTGGTGGAGGGAGAGAGCTATTCCGGGTTGGTGTCAGGTGTGGGCAGAGCCAGCCAGAAAAGGGCCTGTCTGCACCCCCTGTACCCCCCCGGCCCATGCTGGCTCCTTCACAACCACGGCGGACAATTCCTGGCAGTCAGGGCCACTGGCGCCCGGCAGAAGAGGGTGAGGTCAGGCCAGCTTTGTCGGTATCCCCCTCCCCAAACACACACACACACCCACCCACCCTGTTCCATGCCTGACTCAGCCAGGCCCAGGCGGGGAACTGTCGTCAGACACTGTGCAGGGTGGGGGCCACGCGCTGTTGCCCCCAGCTCACCCCGAGGCCCTCTCTCCATCACAATCTGACGTGTGGAGATTCTCCATGGTGGCATTTGATGGGTAAGGTGGCATTTGTGGGCCACAGTCACGGCTAAGGCGACGAGGCGCGGCCGGAAGGGGCCTGGTAGGGCTGCCCAGACCTGAGGGCTTCTGGCGCCAGCCTGGTACACCCCCGCCCCACAACTTGCTGTTCCCACAAAGACACCGCTAAGCGCTCGCTGCACACCTGCGGATGCTTGCATGCATCCTCACTGTCAATCTTAACAACCACCTGGGGGTTCATTAGCACTGCCTCCTTCCTCACCTGGAGCCACTGGGGCTCTGAACCATTCAGCCACTCGCCCAAGGTCACCCGAATTGGAAGTGAAGGAATGGGAATCGGAACTTGGGCAGCCTGACTCTGGAGTCGCCGAAATGTTCCCTGAATTAAGCCGTCTCCAGCCACCCCCCACCCCACCCCACCCCACCACAGGCAGGTTCAGGGTAATGTCCACATCAGAGCTCGTCTTCAGCTGGACGGAACCAGGGGCCACCAGCCAGGGACATGGGCAGCCAGCCCCCACCGTCGCCCCTCACCTCGGGAAGGCCAGAGGGCATGCAGACAGACCCTAGTGTCTGACCACCCCTCCGCCTGCCTGGTTGCCAACCGAGTGGGTTTGGGTGCCCCTGGGTGGAGGGGGTCATCTTGTGTAGGCAGACCAGAAGCTCAGAACTTCCTGGTCTCAGACCTCTGGGAGGTCTAATGGAAGCTGTGCACTCCCCTGTCCCCCATCACCAAGTAAATGTTTACACACACTTGTTTGCACACGGTTCCAGGATCCCGCACCCTGCGCCCACCCAGGGTCCAACGGCAGCCGGGGGTGGGTCAGCTCCATGGCCCAGATGACAGCCGGGAGGGTCCACGGCAGAAACTGCTTCCTGCTCTCGCCCCATGGGGAAGCCGCGGGTGCGGCACTGCTGAGCTTGGAGAGTCACGCACCTCCCGCCAGACACATAGCCACCCGCCCCCCAGGCATCGGGCTTGAGGCAGGGGGTCCAGCCCCGCAGCTGCCTGCAGCCTGCGGTGGGGGGGTTGGGGGGCCGCGTCCTCGGTGACCAGTGGCCTTGGCTCTGCAACCGGAGCCGCGGTGGGTAAATATAGCGCTGCCACTCACCAGCTGAGGGGCCCTCGCCGTCCGACATGGTGCGGGAGATGGGCAGGCAGCCGGCCACGGCCCGCGGGGACGCTCGGGGACCTCAGCGGCTGTCGCCCACCTGGTGGGGCTCCTGGCTGCGTCCAGTCCCCAGGCGGTGTCCCGCCCCGGCAGGCCCAGCCACCACCACCACCGCCCCCTCCCCCGCCCCATGCTGGGCCGGGCAGATAACGAGCTCCAGGGCCAGGAGCCTGCGGGATTGGTGGATAAATCTGGGCACTGCCCTCCCCTGCCCCCAGCCTCTCCAGCAGACTCAGAAGGTTGCCGGAGAGACCGCTGTACCCCTGGGCACTCGGTCAGGCTGCGAGACCCCTCTCTGCCAGCCTAGGACCCCAGAGTGCCTGCAAGCTCTCTCCTGGGGACTGGTCCCACCCGCCCAGCGAGGGGCACTTCGGGTCCTTAGAGAAGGATGAGAGTGAGTGATGCCACCCAGAGAAGCCACACTCGTCCCCTCTCTCAGCTCTCCCGGGCAGCCACTCCTATTGTCTCCAGGTCACAGAGGGCATGACCCATCCAAGGCCCCTCGGCAGGTTAGGGGTGTGACCGGAGCTGGGCTCTGGAGCCGGCTAGCTCCAAGGTGGCCAGAAGGTGTGTCCCTTGCCTTTGCCTGGGAGATGAGAGCCGTGGCCAGCAGGGGCCCTACTGTTCTAACTGCTCCACGTGTGCTGGGAGATGGAAAAGGACCCCCAAGGACAGCCATGTGACTCTGTCTGACACAGAGGGGGTGCTCAGGAAATATTGGTTGAATGAACAAACCGCAGCAAGCCCTGAGTATGCACTTGCTCTGTGCTTGCCTTAAGAGCCAACCCACTTCTGCTCCTGGGTCCCGCACAAGGACCAGAGACCAGGGCAGTGAGGCAGGTGGAAGGCTTTGGGCTGAGTTCCCCGGGTTGGGTGCCTGTGGCTGCCTACTCCCACCCCCGACCCTGGCCCAAGGTCAGCACAGAGGGAGTGCAGTGACTGAAAGGGAAGGCTGGTATCAACTCCAGTCAGAGAAATACTGGAGGGCTTCCTGGAAGAGCTGGCATTTGAGTTCCATCTTTGACGGATAAGAAAGCTTTTTTTTCAGGGGATGAGAGGACATTTCAGGAAGAGAGACCAGTAGGTGTGAAAGTAAGAGGCAGGAAAGCTCAATTGGAGGGTGACAGGGGTCCCTGAAGGTGTAGTGACCCCTAGTAGAGAAGAAGTTTGATCCGGGTGGAAGTGGGGGCATCTGGGGCTGGGGAAGCTAGGGGAGGCTTCTTGGAGGAGGGGGCAGATGTTGGTGCCTCAGAAAATGGGGGGCAGGCGTGGAATGGCATTCCAGGTCATCTAGCAGCTCTTCCATTGGCAGTGAGACCTTTCCCAGCCTGGAGACCGAGGAGGTGGGGTGGGGTGTGAAGGCAGGAGGGGCCCCTTTCCAGAGATGGGGGTGGGGTGGGGGGCTGTAGAGTCACATCAGCCGTCAGAGTGAACAGCAAAGAAATTCACTCCCTGGAAGGTGGCTCTAGGCCGCTCGGCCTTTGCCTGTACTATTCCCTTGCTCAGGAATTCTCTGTCCTCTTCGCCAGTCTCCTCCTCTGGGAAGCCCTGTCTGATTGCCCCTAAAGGCTGGTCAGGGGCCCCTGCATTCTGCTCTGCAAACTCTGACCTCACTGTGGTCACTGCCTGGTCCTGCCTGTTGGTTGGCTCTTGCGCCTCTGAAAGGTAATGAGCTCACTGTCACTGGAGGTATGTAAGCAGGGCTAGACAGCCACTGGCCGGGGACACAGTGGAGAGTTCAAGCATCAGGTAGACTTAGATTAAATGTCTCAGGAGTTCCTCTAGGATAACGTGTCCTGGTCTCCCTGGACCTCTGCCTGTTTTAGCCCTGAAAGTCCTCATGCATCCTGCAAAACTTCTGTCGCAGGCAAACCAGGACTGTTGGTCATCCTGTGTCCCTCCTAAGCAAGATTTTTCTTTAAATGAAAACAAAAAATAGACAAAACAAGACAATCTGTCTCTGAAGCCCTAACCCTGCCCACAACCTCCTCCTTCCTTCACACCAGCTAGATGTGATTCTAAGACTGGGATTCTGGAGGGAAAGGAGGACACCCCGCTGCCCTGTGCCTTGGGAGGGCATGCAGGGTAGAAAGGAGGCAGGTCAGCAAGGACAGCAAGCTCCCCTGGGCCCCCCACTTGCGGGGCCGGGGGGAGTCTCGCCTGCTGGGTCTGGAGGACTGACAAGATACTGCAGCAGTCTGTCTCCCCAGGGAGGGGCTGGGACCGGCTGGGACCATGTGCCCAGGCCTCCACCCTGGGGAGCTCCAGGGGAAAGCTGCAGCGGGAGGACACGAGTGGGTTCAGACCGGCCTCGCTGTGTGGCCTTGGGCCAGTCGTGATCCCTCCCTGTGCCTCCAATGCCTCACCGGTGGAGCATTTACGAGCATCTCCTGTACCCAGCCCTGGGCCAGGCTTGGGGGCAGGGACCCCACAGAGTCCCTGCCATCAGACATGAGCGGTCCCAGGGAGGGGGGTGTCTGCAGGCTGGGCTGATGGCTCCTTTGTGTGTGTTATGCAGTGCGTGCCCAGGGCCCCCTAGAGGGTGCCCCCCAAGACTGCCAGAGGCCAGGCCATGTGCCACAGACACGCCCAGCACTGGACGGACCACAGGGCCACAGAAAGAGCCCCACCAAGGCCCCTGGCATCCTAGGCAGAGGCCTCACCTTGCCCACTGCCATGGGCAGGACCGAGGCTGGTGGGGCGTGACGTCAGAGGGGCCGGGGTCCCATGCCAGCTCCCCCTGCCCTCCTTGGTGACTGGGACGAGCTGGCCCCTGCCTCGGTTGCTCACCTGGAAGCGGGAGGGGCCTTCGGTGAGGACCGGCAGCAAGGCCGAGACGCCCTGGAGGACGCTCCACCTCCCCACTCTGCAGCTGTCTGTCTGTCTGCTCCTGAGTCCCACCCAAACCAGCCGCCCGGGGTCCATCCGGCTGGAGCTGGCTCCCTGTGCGCAGGCCACTTCCTCTTCCTGTCCCGGCCCCAAGTCCCTTCCTGTTTTCTTTAGTGTGGGAATGTGTCCTGGGGAAAAAACAACTTGATTGCTCCGCTCCGCTCCGGAGGTCACCGCAGCAGCACGGGCCTGCCGCTTGCGTGTCTGCGAGCATGTGTGCGGCAGTGGTGTGGGACACACCTGTGTGCATGGAGCGTGTGTGTGTGTATGTTCCCGCATGTGCAGAGGCAGGTCCACGTGTGCACACGTGTGTACGGTGTGTACTCTTGCACCTCCACCCTCTGTCTGCTCAGTCATCGGCGTCCCTGCCGTCGGACAGCAACCAGGCTGGCGCGGTCTTGGCTCATGAATGTCTGATGCCACTTCAGTCACCCACGGGCACTCGTGCAGGGGCCTGAGTGGGATGGGGCACAGCCTCCTGGGGGGCTCACGGGCACATTGGGGGCAGTGGGGCAAGGGCGGGGTCAGGGGGGAGCAGGCAAACACCTGGACAGGGAGCCGACGCCTGGGCAAGAAGAGGGGGTCAGCTTCAGGGTGGAGGTCAACCCTGGCCCAGAGTTTGGGGCACCCGGGGAACGGACGAGGTGGGAGACGGGCGAGGGGGGCGGGTGGGCTGCCCCTGTGGCCTTGGCAGTCGGCCGGAGTGGAGGTGCTGGAAAGGTTGCAGGGGTAGCCCTGAGCTGGGGTCCCTCCCGAGCCCTCCCCCACACTGTGTGGTCTTAGGGGGAATCTGCGCTCCCCTTCCCAGGGGAGGGTGACCACCAGCCTCGCAGTGACCTTGCCTGGGGACCGTGAGCTCTGCACCTCTCCACACCCCCACCTGCTCCCCCCACCAGCCCCCCGAGTTCCCATTGTTCGGTGACCAGCAGTAGTGCTGGGAGTGAGGGGATCCGGGAGGGCGGGAGGGTCAGGGCTGGCCTGATCAGAGGCGGGAGGGCACCGGAGCGCGGTGGGGTCAAGGCAGAGGTCCGAGGTCCAGCTTCCCCTGGGCCCCGACTGGGTCTCGGGGGTCCCGGCACCTCCCCACTGCCGGAGACCTGTCTCCCTGGGCCTTGGGCCCCCTGTAAATAGAGGCAGGAAGGTTCCAAACAAGGGGCCTCACCTGGGGCGTTGGTGACCACGATTTGAAGAAGGACAGAGGATGTGCCCCCGCCCGGCCCCGTGCGCGGCCCTGGGCAGGCCACCTAACCTGTGGGGCTCAGGATAGGGTGTGCAATGCCCAGTAAGTGCCAAACACCCGCGGGCCTTGTAATACTTCCCGGGTCTGCCCACTGCCTTAGCTTAAAACAGAGCTCCTCACAGCTCAGGTCACAGCAGACGCACCCAAATGCATGCAGCCCGAGACATGCAGGTGTGGACGCTGAGACCCACACACTCAGCCTCACCTGTGAGAGACAGAGATACACAGAGATGGGGAGACCCCACACAGAGATACACGAGAGACACAAAGTGAAAATGTTAGTCGCTCAGTCGTGTCCGACTCTTTGTGATCCCATGGACTGTAGTCTGCCAGGCTCCTCTGTCCAAGGAATTCTCCAGGCAAGAATACTTGAGTGGGTTGCCATTCCCTTCTCCCGGGGATCTTCCTGACCCAGGGATCGAGCTCGGGTCTCTTGAATTACAGGCAGATTCTTTACCATCTGAGCCTCCAGGGAAGCCCATGAATGGACATATATGCATGCAGCTCACACACACACACACACACACACACACACATACACACTCCAGTGTAGTCCTGGGAGCTGGTTTCCCACATCCAAGGCCCCGTTAAGTTGACGACCGCCTGGGTGGCCTTGGGCGAGCCTCCCATCTCCAGGCTCCTGGCTAGGAAAGAAGCCTGAGGGACCCGTGAGCTGCTCTGGGGGTCCCCAGGGTGTGAGGGCGTGTGTGGGTTCCCTGGGGCAATCCCCATCCCCCTGGGTGGGAGCCTAGGAGCTGCCATCACTTGGTGGGGGGCTGGGGGCACACGGGGCTGGGGGGGAGGCGCCGGCCTCCTCCTCAGGCTGTTGGGCTCACAGCAGGGATGAGGCCCCCCAGGAACAGTGAGGCCCCACCACTGGGACCTTGTCTGTAGAAAGGAGCCCAGGGTCACAGTACAGCTTGGGGCTGGCCAAGCAGCAGGGGCTCGATGGGTGAGCCGACCCCATCATCCCAGACTCCTCCTCAGCCAGGATCCCAGGGCTGCCCGGAAGCCCTGCCCCTGGGCTGGGGGAGGCAGGAGACTGCCCTTGATGCATCGCCGCCCTTGCCCTCTCGCAATCCTGGACCAGCAGAGCTGAGCCCAAGGACAGGGAATGGGGAGAGGAGACAAGCCTTTGCCCCTGCCCGCCTGACATTGACTCTGGGGCCCTCCAGACCCCACCCGGGAGGCCGGGCTTCTGAATGAAAGGCCCTGGACCCCCATGTCCTCACCTCCTGCCCGGCCTCTCCACCCTGAGGCCCATGGAGCTTCCTCCCAGGCAGGCCTGGGACCCAGGCATAGCAGGCGGGGGCTGCCCACCCCCCGAGCCAGCCAAGAGCGGGAGGCTCAGGCCTCCACTGGTCCCTGTCCTCCGCAGAGACTCTCGGGGCCCCCACCCTGGGGGTGACCACTCTGCCTGACTGGCTGGGTCCAGCTCCCCAGCTGAGGCTGCCTAAGGTGGGCAAAACCAGGAAGGTAACCCTGGTTTCCTCCGGGGAGAAGGAAGTGAGGGAGAGCCATGTTCTGGGAGAAGTGAGTGTTTTTAAAGCTCCAGACCATTCGTCCCCACCACTTCCCTGATTCGGAGAAATGACCCTCCTGGGTAAGTCTCCTGTCGCCTGCCAGAAATACCCCCAGTGTCTGCCTTTCCCCGGCCAGACTTATTTTTGGACATCCAGCCAGAGATGTCCAGGACTGTCTGGAGCCCAGGGTAAGGTCTGAGCAGACGTGTGTTTAGGGGGTCGAGACCCTCCTTGGGGTCACACACTGGCCAGGAAGCCCCCTGAAGACGCCCCCTGGATTCTCCCCTCAGAGGAGAGCAAGCATCCGAGCGGTGGGCGTGCGACGCAGGACCAAGGCCTGGCTTGAGTCCCCTCTGGCGCCTGCCTTGAGGTCACCCGCAGGTGGCCAGCCCCTCTCGTGATCGCCCACGCTGTGTCTGTGGGGTCCCCCCGGCTGGCCCTCCCTGACCCTGGACCAGGGTAGAGGGCAGCAGGCCTGCTTGGCCCAGACTACCAGGAGCCCCACCCAGGGTCCTCCCGGCGGGGCAGCTCGCTGTGGTCCTCTGCTTATTCACGTGGGCTGCCGCCGAGGCCTGCACGGCAACTCCACGCCAGCACCATCCTGGCGCCTGGAGCACAGACACAGAACACCAGCCACGGGACCGCGGCTGGGCCGGGCCACACCGGCAGACTAGGCTCCTGAGGCCTGGCCAGAGACACCCAGGCGTCCCCCACAAGTCTCCTGACCCGTGGGGCAGGGAAGGGCACCGGGAGATGACGTCCAGGGAGCTTAATATACAGTCGAGGTGCTTTAGCAGCTCAGCACTGGGGAATCGGGGGCGCTTGGGTGAGTGTGCAGGCGGGAAGAGTCCTGAGGGTGAGCGTGTAGACCCATCTCACCTTGTCCAGGTTGACAGAGAGGCCAGGAGCCGGGAAAGGAAGGTCGCTGCCGCCGTCCTGAGGGAGGGAACGGCAGGGCAGGGAGGGGACCAGAACTGCCTGGTGTCGCAGCTGCAAACAGCCTGACCCTGGACTCAGCTTCACGCGTTTCTCCACCCCCGGGGCCCTTTCTGGGTGAGTTCAGACGGCCCAGTTCGTTCCACCGCGGGCCTGCCAGCATCGCCCCCGCCAGACCCAGGCCCCCCCACCGGGGAGGGGAGACGGAGACACGGAGCGATCGCCGCAGCCCCACGCGTGGCAGCGCCCCGGTCGCCCCCCCCACCCCCACCCCAGCCTGTTTCAGTGGCCCCGGCTCTGAAATGGGGACCGCGATGCCCGCCTCCCCACTGCCATCCCAGGGTCACTGGAGGCTCCAGACCACCCGCGTCTGACCGCGGCGGGGCGGCCAGCGTCACACCCTCTCGCCCTGACCCCTCCTCCGAGAGGCTGGGCTTGCTGGCGTCGCCTCGAATCCCTCGCACTCCGGACCTCCGGACCCTCGGAGGGGCGGGGAGGCGTCGTCCACACGGCTGGGGGCCGGACGCGGATCCGAGCGCTGCGCCGGGGCGCCACCATGCGTCCCTTCTGGGAACTGCACCGCCCGACCTCCTCCCTTCCCTGGAGGGAACAGCCATCAAGATGCCACCGCGGGTGGGTGCGCAGCCATCGCCCACGGTAGAAGACTCTGTGCTGGGCACCATCCACGGAGGACGCTCTTAACTCTGCCACCAACCTTAGAATGTGGGTACTATTATCTGTCCTCCCTTACAATGGGGAGACTGGGGGCCAAGCCCCACAACCAGTGACAGATGGGGTAGCGTTTGAACACAGGAGGTCGGGCTGCAGGACCTTGGTCTTAATCCTGTCCATCTTGCCTGGGCCCCAGGGGCTGGTACCAGCCCTGCGCACCCTGGGGACTCCTGTGAAGTGAAAGTCGCTCAGTTGTGTCCGACTCTTAGCGACCCCACAGGCTATACAGTCCATGGGATTCTCCACGCCAGGATACTGGAGTGGGTAGCCTTTCCCTTCTCCAGAGGATCTTCCCAACCCAAGGATCGAACCCAGTTCTCCCGCATTGCAGGTGGATTCTTTACCAGCTGAGCCACCAGGGAAGCTTGGATCCCCTGATTGGGGGGGGAGGGCCTTAAAAAGAAAAGTTTCTGGTCCCCACCCCATAGACTGGCCCAGCTGGTACAGCCATCTCAGAAGCACAGAGGTTCTGGCCTTGCCCCTGACCGCCCCGCTCCCACCTAAGGCAGGTAGATGGAAATAGGGTGGTGTGTAGCTTGATAAGGGTCCGGCTGGGAGAGCATAGGACCCTCACTCAGCAAGGAATCTGCAGCCACAGACGCACCTGGAGGTCCGACGCCCTGCCCAGAGGCGCAGGTGCAGCCGCTCTTACTGTAGGTTCCCACGTCCAGTGGCCCTATCCCGGTGCAGAGCACCCACCTGTGCCGAGCATGTCACTGCCTCCCCTGAGCCTCAGTTTTCTCATCTGCTAAATGGGAAGATCCCCGGGAGCTGTCATTCGAGACTGCAGCAAGGGCTGAGGAGCAGACATATAGCAAGGACACCCTAAATCCACACCCTCCTGGGTGTAGTGGGGGGGGGGATCTGTCTGGGACACGTACCCCAGGCAGGGGGCCCAGGGCAGTTTCTTTCTTTTTTTTTTAATTAGTTAACTTATTTCTGGTGTTTCCGTTTGTGCTGGTTCTCCATTGCTGTGTGTGGGCTTTTTCTAGTTGGAGAGTGGGGACTGCTCTCTAGAGGCAGTACACAGGCTCCTCACTGCGGTGGCTTCTCTCGTTGCAAAGCACAGGCTCTAGACAATGGGCTCAGTAGTTGTGGCTCACGAGCTTAGCTGCTCCGCGGCCTGTGGAATCATCCCGGACCAGAGATCAGACCTGTGGCCCCTGCACTGGCAGGCGGATTCTTACCCACTGTACCACCAGGGAAGTCCGGGGGCAGTTTCTTTTTCCTAGACAAACTCCTAAGTGCTGAAGGAGGCACTGGGGGTGGCCCTTTCCTTGGACAGGCCCAGAGGACATGGTGGGGCCAGGTTTTCCTGCCCCTTGGCCACCCACCCCTTGGCCCTGAGCAGGAAGGAGAAATTTCCTTACCTGCCCACCGCAGGGAGGGTTGCAGTTTTACTGTCTGGGCCCCAGAGAGGCAGCCCTGTGCCAACAGATGTAGAGGGTGCAGTGGGCATTCGTGCTCAGCTCCACCAGGCTGCCCCCAAGAGAGATCCTGGGGGCTCCGGCCTCTCGGAGGCCCTCTGGGGTGTCCGTGGCCTTGCTGGCAGTAGACTAGACCACAAAGGCCCCGGGGCCCCTGAGCCCCTCAATTCAAGCTCCCAACACTGCCCACAGTCCCAGCCTCACCCCAGGAGCACAGTCTTCCACACGAGGGAATGGGCTTCTACTAACACCACCTGGGAACTTGGGCAGTCTTCTCCTGATGTGGCTTCATCTAGGCATCCCCGGGGACAGCTTCCAGAACTACATCAGCCCTCAGGGAGATTGGTCTCAACATGGCCCGCATTTTACAGATGAGCAAACGGAGGCCAGAGCGCCCTGGCCCAGTCTGGCCATTCATTCGTGCAGTCAACACATATTTATTTATTGAGCATCGACTGTGCCAGGCCGTGGGTGGGCACAGGAGGCTCAGAGATGAATCACACGCAGGCCCTGCCCTCGAGGCACTCGGAGCCTGGCAGGGCAGTCGGTCACATCAAAGGATACTCACGATACAGTGTGGTCAGTGTGGTGTTAGAGGTAGCACAGGTGATGGGGGCGGGGGAGCACGGAGGAGGGGCCCCTGGCCCAGCCGGGGGATGGCAGGAGGGCTTCCTGGAAGAGGTGACACCTGAAGAAGGCTTTAGGGAGTGAGCAAGAGTTAGGGTGTCTGGCAGAGGGAGTGGTCTGTGCAAAGAGGCAGTGGGGGGAGAGGCAACAGCACATCTGGGTGGCACCTGGGGGTTAGGCAGGGGCTGGTGGGCGGGGGGCGGGGTTAGCGGGGAGGGGGAGCTTGGAGGGGGTGAAGCAGGCAGTGGAGGGCCGAGGGCCCGCTGGGAGCCAGCGTGGAGGGTGCTCCCGGGGGTGGGGGTGGGGGAGCAGGCTGCCCAGGGCCCTGGCCGAGGAGTGTGGCCCCGCCCGAGCCCCTCAGCAGGGCGGGGGCGGGGGCGCCGGCTGCCAGCCCCGGGGCTGCAGCGTGCAGATCACAGGGTCCAGCGGCTTGAGTGTGGCCTGCTCCTGCAGCCCGAATCGCTGCCCAGGCACCAGCCGGAACTCCAGCCTCTGCAGCAGCTTGGCCATGACCACCTTCACCTCCATCTGTGCGCGCAGGGGGCGGGGAGGGTGAGTCAGCGGCGAGGATGCGGGACGTGAGGCGCCATGGCTGCCTGGGCCCCCAGCCCCGGGGACCCTGGAGCAGGGGGGCTCTGAAGTGCTTCCCGGACCGGACGCCACCCCACGGTCCCCCCAGGCTGAAACCTCGCGGCTGGCCTCCTACCTGAGCAAACTGCTGCCCGATGCAGGAGCGGGGTCCCAGGGAGAAGGGGAAGTAGGTGAACTTGGGCCTGCAAACGGGAGGGAGGCGTCAGGAGGCAACAGCCGTGAAAAGGCCACCCCTGTGATGACCGCTTTGAGCCGGGGTTGCTTTTGACCAAGCTAACGACGTCACCGGCTGACTCCGCTGAGCCCTGGGTCAGTGTTTTCTCGTTTCATCCTCCACTGAGCCTTCCGGAAGGAGCTGTGATTGGTCCCATTTCACAGATGGAGGAACTGAGGCTCAGAGAGGCAAAGCCACTCCCCCAAGGTCCTACGTCACTCGGTCCACTTAGCCAGTCACATGTCCAGCTCCGGGCAGTCCCGGTCTGGACTCAGACCCCATCAGAGCTGTGGTACTTAAATCGGTCACTCTAGAGGGAGCTGTCAGTATTCCCATTCCTCAGATAGGATCATCCGGCCTGGGGAAGCCTCGGCCACTTGCCCAAGTCACAGCGCTCTGCAGTATAAGGGACTGCTCATAAGCACACGCTTTAAAACCAGTCTGAGTCCTTGCTGGCTGTGCCTCCACGGGCAAGTTACCTAACCTCTCTGAGCTGGGATCTCCTCCCTCTAAGTGGGGGCAGAGTGGGGATCCCAGTTCCCTCACAGTGGTCAGGGGTCACGGCAGCTCAGACCAGAGGCCGCTGGGCCCGTCCTCCCGCCAGGCCTCCACTCACCGACAGTTTGAAGACAGACTTACTTGGGTGCTTTGGGGCTGAAGCGATCCGGATTGAAAGTCAGAGGGTCCTCAAAGTACGTGTCCATCCGCCCCATGACGTAGGTGCTGAACTGCCGGGCAGAGGATCTGCTTGTCTCTGGGTCCAAGGCTAGGTCCCCTCGCACCTCCCCCACCTGCCGCAGTCACCCAGTGGGAAGACTCGGAGCAGAGTACCCCCTCCTCAAATCCCCACCACCCCGCCAATCTCCCCACCCACCCACCGCCCCACCCGCCCATCTGGACAAGGGTGGGATTCCACTGGCCCCTGAAAAGTGTCTAACAGGGAGAAAGAGGGCAGCCCAATGTGTCGTCCACCGGCTGGGCACGCTACATCATCCCATGCTTGGCTTTACCCTGGGGGGAGCCACAATTATCCCTATTTTACAGATGAGGAAACTGGCTCAGAGGTTCATGACATGCCTGAAGTCACCTGGCAAGTAAGTGGCCAAAACGAGATGCAAGCTCAGGGCTGCGACAAGGCCATCCTTCTCTCCATTCCTGAGAGCTATTATTATTCAAAGTTTGTTTTCAACACAAGACTTGCTTCAGTGGAGTAGGGGTAGGGAGCCACCGACCCCCCAGTAGCCTTTCGGCTGCACACTTGGCACCTCCTGACTGGGGCTGATGCTCTGTGCGCCAGCCCCGGGCCCTGGGTGCTGGCCTCTGCACAGAGTGTCTCTCCAAGCCTTCGCTGCTCCTTCTCTGTGTGGGGTCCAGGGCTGCCAGGGCTGGAGCGGGAGCGTAAGATGGGGAGGGGTCTGGGGGAAGCAAACGGTGCCCACTACGTGCCGGGGAGTTTTGCCAGACACAGGATGTGCATTATCCTGTTGACTCGGGTGCCAGCATCCATCCCCAGCTTGCCAGGATGGTACTGAGGCCCGCAAGTCCAGGGTCTTGCCTGAGATGGCTCAGCCGGCAGGGAGCAGGCCTGGCGTTGGAGCCTGGCTCTGCCCACTCAAGGTCACGGGGTTCAGGTTGGACATGGGGGTTGAGAGTCAGCCCCGGGGCCTCGCCCTGCCAGATGTAAGGGCATTCTGAAGAGACCATTGCAGTAGCTGGTAGTTTTTTTTAAAAGCGCAGATAAACAGGATAAAGAAGCATGCATGGATGAAGCTCTGGTGTGTGCTGGGGTGAGTGTGGCCGGGCCCTGGGGCAGGGGGAGCTGCTCAAAAGGTGGGACACATCATTCTTCTTTGTGAAAATAAAACTGGGTCCTATTTGGGCTGAATTGTGTGCCCCTAAAATTCATATGCTGAAGTTAACTTCAGAATGTGACTGTATTTAGAGATAGGCTCTTTAAAGAGGTAATTAAGTGAAAATGAGGTCACTGGAGCCCTTAATCCAATATGGTGCTTCCCAGGTAAAGAGCCTGCTTGCCAATGCAGGAGACGTAAGAGACTCGGGCTCAATCCCTGGGTTGGGAAGATCCCCTGGA